GAGAGAGAGAGAGAGAGAGAGAGAGAGAGAGATACTCTCCACTGTATATTTATTTCTGCTTATTGTGCCCAAGGTTAGTGAAACTGCTTGGCTGACATGTACTATAATGGCTGCACAGATAGATCTATATTTTAAATACATTATTGCGTCTTTAATGCGTGCTTGTGTATCTCTTTGTCAGAATGAATCCCAGTGTGACCAGTTGAAACTTGCGTTAGCTGTATTTAATTTTACTACATGATTCAGTCTTTGTATTTATCCATTTAAAACAAACAAACAAAAACCCAGGATAGATACATATATGATTTTTTAAAAAAAAAAAAGATAGTTACTGTAAATGTGATTTCTTGTGGGCAGCATGGTGGTTTGAATCCACCATCTGGCTGGGGCCATCTGGCTGGGGCCTTTCTGTGTGGAGTTTGCATGTTTGCATGTTTGCATGTTTGCATGTTCTCCCTGTGTTTGTGTGCCTCTCTCTGAGAACTCTGGTTTCCCCCCCACAGTCCGATGATGTGGAATTAGTGAGGTTAACTGGTGATTGCAAATCGCCCATAGGTGTGAATAGTTGTCTGTCTGTCTCTGTGTGTTTGCCCTGTGAAAGGCTGCCGACCTGTCCAGACTGTACCACCTCTTGCCCTATCCCCACCTGGGATAGGCTCTGGTCCCCTGCTATCCTAAAAGTGGATAAGCAGGAGAGAATGGATGGAGGGATTTTCTTTTCTTTGCTTTGGCTGCTTTGAAAAATATTTTAACAAGACAAAATAGTCCGTAACAAAACTGTCATTGTTACATTTAGTAGAAACTGAAAGTCATAAACTGCACAACTAACTAAGGACTTTCTATTTGCATTTAACAGTGAATCGCATCCTGCTATATAAAGACAGCTTCAGATTCGGCAAACACACACGTCAGATATGATGAATGGATTTTTCCTAACTAATGATGAGCAGAGGCTACTTTAGCTTTAATGGAGGCTACACAATATCTGCACACATATCTGTGGTTTTGTAATTCAAAATAACTGACTTAAGTATAGCTCTTTGGCTCTATTATTCTTGGAGTTTTTTCCCATTAACTCCTTTTGACCCCAGAGTCCTGTGTACCAGGTTCCAGGTGGAAAGATGCATAAAGACGAAAAAAAAAAAAAGCTTAAAAACCATGAAGGTTTCTCAAGTTCAATCTGGACTGGTGATAAGGAAAAAGGAGACCTATTGCATTCAAAATTCTTCTAAGCGTCTCTTATCCATAAAGCGCAAGACTGCTTATCTTGGCTTTACGGTTTTGCAGCTGTTGCCGACTACAGTGCAGATGTTTTTTAAATGTAGAAGTGTCAAATAATCAACTGAGGCTCAAGGGGTTAAACCATCCAAATACCGCACACTGAAGCCACAAGACACAAAGTAGACAACAGTGGTGTCACTTTCCAGCAGTACATAATGTAAGAAAGGAGTTCTGATGAAACCACATTGTAAACTGTATGGTAGCTGTTTTCTTCCCTATAAGCATTCGTATTTCTGTGCAGCTTCCAGTGGAAGGTAGATTATGTCTTCCTGTGGAGACATGTACAGCAGAAGTGATAGCATCAGAATTCCTGTCTTGTTTAAGGGAAAAGAAGTTTCACAAAGGACAGAATGATGAGGGCAACTATGCAGTAACTTTCTGTAATTAGGAAGAAAAAATAAATAAAAGGGAAGAGGTGCAGCGATGATATCAATGAACACGAAAACACCGAGATACTTACAAATAACCTGTAAGACAACAAACAGCGGCTGCTGTCTCCGAGCCCTTCTTTATCTGATCAAAACTAAAATGGTGTGCAGGGCGAGACCAACACAAACCAACAAGTCATACAGAGACACACAGAGAAAAGCTCAGTTTGCACGGTCACATAACACATGGCTGCACAAGTCAAAAATATGAGGCGATTCACGACACGATAGTAATCTGGTCTCGAATATCAGGTACTTTTCAATACAGATAAGGCTTCTATTTAAAGCAAACAAAATGAAAATCGAAAATATGCAAGTGACATAATCCCAGGTGCGGCATATTTAGACATTTTATTCTCATTACTAAGAGACAGCCTAAAACAACAAAATGCCATGCGATGCTATTTTACCAATAGGTTTGGATTTTGTCACGGAAACGCTGGATGCTAATATATCCATCTGTTTTCAGATTCACGTTGCAGGAACAGGACAGATGAAGAGTGAAATGTCAACCTACTGAAGCGAACTGCGTTTCCAGCTGTTACTGTGATTTCTGCAAAGTCTGAGACCAAACAGCAAAGAAAAGCTACAGAAAAGTTCAATCCCAAACCCTGAAAAGCACAGCAGAATGAAGCTAGCCCCAAAGACATGACTGGATTGACTGTGGAGAAACAGATGATTCGGTCTGAATGGGAACACTGTGACTGTTTTTTGTTGTTGTTGTTGTTGTTGTTGTTTGTTTGTTGGCGTACAGCCGAGATTAGGTGGCATCACGGATGAACCTCCCAGAGTCCTCTACGTGTTGTTTGGAAAAAGGCTCTCTGCTCCAGACTGACAGTGTTTGACATCAACACTGAAATGCATTCCAGTAAATGGACACAGTGTCACGTGGCTTGTGGTTTCAAAAATGTCAGTATAAACTAATTTTTGTACAGTATATTATCTGGTAAGTTATGTAATGACGATACACTGAATCTGTAGCAAACTCGACTAAGCGATCATTCTGGCAAGCCTGTCTCCACTGTAGGAACATTTTCTTCACAAAAACCTTTCAGTTTAATATCAGCTTAACCAAAGAACTATGAATAGAAATACTCCATTTTTGTCTCGGTTTAAAGTCTTAATGTTTCTATTTTGAGTCTGTATGCACACAACAGTGAAACTGGGATTTAAAAGCCCATGTCTATGTTAAGTTGTGCCATGGCTACGAATAATGGATGACAGAACCTTACGTCTGGATGCCTCAAACATCACGCTGTCTAGAATCTTTTTGTGGGTATGTCCTTGTACTAGGTACAGTATTACGAACTGCAGGTAAACACAGCAGCATATGCAACATGCCGTGCTGCTAGTTTATTTTCTTTGGCTTGTGGCCACAGTATAAGCCCAACACCGTCCCCTGAAATGTCCACACGCACAGAAAACCTTCTGCCCACATTATGTATTACTTCATTGTCATAAGGCACCTTGTGGTGTGATTTTACATAACATCATCTGTTGCATTGAAAAATAAAGTATTTTAAAACTGTGTAACATTGGTCATGCGTGCTGTGTGTGCAAACTCACCATTCTGGAAGCAAACAACAAATGACTGTAACAATATAATAATTATTATTATTAACTTTTGCTGTATGTAACCGTCACAGACAATGACTTAAGAGGGATTTAATTATTTTTGTCCTTCATAGGTGGCTTCATTTGAAGTGGGTTTTTTGGGATGCTGTAGATGTGAAAGTGTAGTACTTTAAGTACTTTCACAAGAAAAAAAAGAAAAAAAAGTCAGAAAAAATAAACAGCTTTGTGAACAGGAATATTTGTTCCCCTTTTCCTAACCCTTTGATCTACTTATGGCTCCTCGGATTTATCTTGGGAGGCCCTGAGGGTCCCGACCTTCACTCTACGAGTCCATGTTCCACAACACTGAGCAAGTAAAACTACTGTTGATGTGAGCTCAAGACACAAATCTAAACAATGCATTATTGAAATGTTATTTTAAGTAATCCTCCCACTATCTAAACCACTGTCATCTCTGGCTTTGGCTACTGTTTGAGCAGGCAACATCTCCGTGTTATGAGAGGAATTTACAAGATTTGGGACTTTAAAAATAAACCAAGAGCAGAATGTAAGACATTTGAAAATAAGCCGAAACTGACATTAGCCCTGCCAGACGGGCAGTGTGACTACCGAAAATATCATTCAGAGAGAGAGAAAAAAAGCCACACAACAACTCAGAATGGAAATAATGGCCCTGTCTGAAGCCACATTCCTATCAGCTGATTCCTGTTCCAATGTTTTCCATGAGTGGTATCAGACCGAAATCAATCCTAAAGTTTTCAAGGAAAAGCCACCACTTAAAGTACGACTGGGAGGGTTTGATAAGATACAAGTACAGGAAACAAAAAGACTATAAAAACAGAGGCGGAACATCTGATTAGGAAAATATTCTACATAAGAAAATGAATTCAATAAAATCCTCTTTTTTCTTCTGCTTTTACTATTAAATGTGACTGAGGCAGTCTTGGATCTGCTTGGAAGTTTAAATGACTTTCACTCTCAATTACACATGTAAGTCCACAGCCAGTGTCTGAGACGTGTAGCTCAGTTTTCTTCAGGATATTTTTAGAACCTGCTTCAGATAAATGAAAAAACAAAACAAAATAAAAACCTTTGACACTAAGCTTGGACATCAATAGTCACCAGATAAGGTTTCTTAAATCTAATTGTGTCAGCTGCATCTTTAATTTAATAAACTATCGTGAACTCTTCCTGACAACGTGGGAGCGTGATCAAGGCACAAACCGAGCTTCTTCTAACGTGTCGTTTCCTTTCTCACTAACAGCCTCTTGACGGGAGTAGATTTAAGAATCCAGATATTTTTCCCAGAGTTAGAGTCAACAGTGTTGTCGGGTTTTCTTTCTTTCTAAATGTCTTTCTCTGTCACATTTTCTTTCTTTTATCTGTGTGTTCGTTTTTGCTTCAGAGGCCAACTCGGCATTCAGAAACAATTTGACTTCACAGAAATATTCCAACTTCAACAATAACACCCGGAGGCTCAAATATCCAGCAAATGACAAAGTCAAAGGTAGAATTTTTGTTGTCATTCCCTGGGATAAAATGATTGTACCGATGTGTTTTGTGTGAGAACCACACAAAGATAAATGAGTTTTTTTAAAAACGGGGCAAGGGTAAAAATATTTAACAGCCGTGTGAAAAGACCAGAATCCAATTCCCCACCTAAAGCTTCCATTTTTGGAATCTTTTTCTATTTCTTTCCTGGAAAAAAAAGAAGGTTGTTGTCATGTAATCTATAAAAACCAGGACTGGACAGGCTGGACAAGAGCATCTTTAACTCCAAGTCAACCAGTTGACAAGAGTTGATGGCTGATTTGGCCATCTACTGCCATCTAGTGCAGTTATCTGTGATTTCCAGCTTCATAAAGTGAACTACAAAGCCAGGCTCACTTATCACCTCCATCAGATGTTTACTTTGATTCTGCAATTTCATTTAATGCAATATTCACTGCTACCTCTTTATCCCCTGGAAATGGCTTTCTTTCCTTAGTTCGCTGCCTGGAAGGAAACCACTATTTCCCAGCAGTATTATGCAGGAGCACAGTAATAGCCTGAAGAGATTTACACTGCACGCTGGATTTCAGTTGGTTTCCAAGGAGGAAAATTGTACATGGAACTTTAATTTCTCATGAATTCAGATTACACATGAACTCCACCATTAAGACTAGTCTGATCTGTGAAAATGATAGTGGGATAAATGTCATCAAATGAATGCATTTGAGTAAACATATAAGAAATGGATGAGTGGAAGCCATGGATGCAGGAAACAGCCTCATCTGCAGATATATATGACCGACACAGAACACTCTTGTACAATTAATGAGCAAGCCTCTTGTTTACTTCTTCGTTTTTTTGGGTTTTTTTTTTTGTGTGTATTGCAATAGGGCTAATTTATGGCGGCTACGGGCCAAGCTCCCAAACAAGCCTTAATAAAGACACAAAGCTGAGCTTTAGACTAGCGTGTTGTCGGTGTTAGAAGCTAAAGATGCATCTGGGTCTTCACTGATAATAGCTCATCCTTTCTTTTTCCAGTGGCTTTGATGGCTTACCGTCAGGGCAAAAGTAAACTCACCGGAGCCACACATTAGGGAGCGACAAAACTCATCCATCCCCGTTGCCTGGGCCACAGAATCCAAATATGTGCTGTAGCTTGGCAACAGTGCCCAAACAAAAGGTTCGCAGCTCCCGCCGGTCTGAGTTGTCTGACCGCCTCCGAGATGAGCCGACCCGGCAGCAGCCCTGATGAAAAAGGGGTCAGCCAAAATGGAGACCCAGGAGGTCAATGCCCACTGTTTACCAATACGCTCAACGCACCAGTGAGTCCCGAAACAAGGTTGTTATCCGCCTTCGCCAGAGATACCCAGGCCAGGAAAGTTGATCTGGCAGGCAGAGGTGAGTCTTATCACGTTAGATAGATAGATAGATAGATAGATAGATAGATAGATAGATAGATAGATAGATAGATAGATAGATAGATAGATAGATAGATAGATAGATAGA